TCGAGCGCAGATCCACTGAGCTCTCAACACAGACAGCATCGTCAGAAGAAAAGTTGATCAAATAAATTAAAAATGTTGTATTGTTCATACATATGTGTACCGAACCGAAAGCACTGTATCGAACGGTTTAATATCTATAAGAGTATTGTTGCACCCCTACTAATAACATAAACAAATTAAAACATATTCTTTTTCTGGCATTTAATCTCAGATTTGTAATGAGCCTGTACCACCAACAACAGCAAATTCCCAGTTAAGGACATTTAAGTCTCCACTTACACTCCAGAATGGACCTTAATGGAGCCGGTGGTCTGTGGGATGCCATAGGAGCTGACCTCTACGGTGTCGTCAAAGTAGGACGCCATCCTGCCCATGCCGTTCACCTCTGAGAACAGGTCAATCTGGGGCATGCTGTAGTCCTATGAAACACAAAAATAACACTGTGTGAGAGCTTTCACAGTTCCTTTCTTTATTTACAATAAGCCTGGAAAACTGAGCTTTTTGAATCAGGTTAAATGAAACCCAACTCACCCTCACTGCCAGTCGAATGGAGCCGATGACCACAGGCGCTGTGGGAATAGGTTCACCTATCTCATCTAGCGTTGCAGGACTTTCCTCCTCTGCCCAGACATTCACGATGCCATCTGTAGGACCTTCTTCCAGAGCGATGATACGGCCCTGGAAACCAGGCTTCTCATACAGGACCCAGCTAAAGAGACACAATCACGTAACTCTACACTTTTCACAGAACAAGCACCAAAGATTTCAGAGGACAGTTCAGTCACATCACCTGGATAAGTTAAAATGCGCTGCTACGTTACCATGGTAAAGTTTGTTTGACATTAACTATGTCCACGTGTGATCATCACACTGAAGCGTGGATGCATGCTAACGCGTACCATCCTCTGATGACTCTGACTGATATGATGGGGGACAGCTTCATGGTGGTGGCATCTTCTACATCAGAGTAGAGCTCAAAGGCCTCTCCTCCAAACTGAGCATGCTCGTGTATGATGATCTAGATCAAGACAGACATGTCACTGGAATCCATCATTAGAAATTCAATCTATGTTTAGATATGCACTGCAGTACCTTTCCAGGCCTTTTGTGGAAGCCTCTTACTGCAGGAATCTGCAAGAAGAGTTGGAAAAGATTTAGGTTACGAACTTAAAGCTGGATTTTAAATATTACTTTGAGTGGTCGTCTGAACTGAGTGCGTCCGGATGGCCCTGGCCATGTGAGTCGAATGCTTTTTTATTCTAGAACCGTTTTGTCTGTGTGACCTCAGTAAACACGTTGCTGACTGCTCTAGTTTTTAGTTTTAAGGCAGTCGTTGGTTTCCACGTCAGGTTTGGGACGGTAGCGTGGCTCACCCTGGAGTAACCTGCTGTCAGTTACCTGAGTGCTCACACAGCAACTGTAAGTATTCATTCATTACTTTTAGTGAAGTCCCATTCATTTAACAGTTACAGTTACAATAATACTTTTACCCAAGTAAAAATCTAGTTTAGGTTTTATTTTAGACTTGCTAACAGGAGCAGTGCATGCTAAGAGACGTCAACAGAAATAAAAGATGTAAACGTGCTACATTTTTAGCAAGATTAGTATTTAACATCCACAGACGGGCACATGAGAGTATGCAATATTAAAGACACAGAGTGTAAAGTGCAGTCTGTTAAAGTTACTGTTAGTTTGGTATTTTAATCATCTGTGCAGTAAATGTTTTTGCCTCATTTTGTTCTACCTTAAAGTCAACAGCAAACATTAATTTGTTTTGATCAGTTTCCAGTGCTCCTGTTTCCTTTCGTGCCCGCGGCAGAGAAACAAACAGTGTGATTATTTGAAGACATTTATTTTTATAGGTCTACTTTATTTGCCTGTAGATGCAAATACTTCATCTCAGCCTGGAAGACGAGCCGATCTTGGAAGAACACATTGAGGACACGTTCGTCTTTCCTGTCCTTACTTGTAAATGATTCACAGTTTGGTTGCAACAGCATCACATAACAGTGTGAAGGTGGGGCGTGTGTGGCCATGGATATAAACTAGGAACTTAGGAGTGCTTTGCAGATTTTCTTAGCTGATTAAAACCCATTCAGGCTTTGAGAATCCTTCCTGCTAACAGGCAAAGATATTTAAAGTCTCGTGCCTACCTTTGGCTTTGAAGTCGTCTTTTGAAATCCATTTGAAGGGCGCTGCTGGATGGAGTTGGTGATTGGAGGAAGTTCTTCAGGGCTCTTCAGGTTCAGATCCACTTGAGATAGACCTGCTATCAGGTCCTGGTCCATAGCGATGCTCTCCTTTGTATTCTGGTTAGTTTGAATTGTCTGCGCTGTGGAGGTCTGTGTTTCTTTTTTGTTCTTCTTCAGTAATTTCTCTAAATGTTCAGGCAGCTTTATGTCAGAGAACGAGGGCAGCACAAGAGGAGGAGGAGAGGAGGAGCTAAAGACTGACTCACTAACTCTTCCTGTACCACCTCCTGTGACCGGGCTTTGATCTACGCCCGTCCCACTCATGTGTGTGGCCTCAGGCTTTGATGAATCAGCAGCTTCCACGTTTCTGAGTGAGGGCATGCCCTGCTGCTGGTCAGAGGAAGGTGTGCTATTTGAGGCAGAGGAAACTTCCTCTGAACTCTTCCTGGTGGAACGAGTGGTCAGTAAGCTGGAGAGGATGGAAATCTTATTAAGCCTTGACGTAAGCTTCACGGGCTCTTCATTGTCTTGCCCCTCTTTTCCTGCTTCAGCTTTGGCCCCCTCCTGGAGTGCAGATTTACCTTCAACCTCATCAAGTGTTGCTTGCTGTTCAGGAGTGGGTGTGGCATTTTTTTCCAGAGTTTGCTCATTCCTTTGATTTCCCTTTTGTTTAAGAATTGTCATAGGTAAAAGGTCAATAAAGGTTCGTCCATTTTTCCTTAAGCCGAACTGGAATTCCTCAGGATCGAACGTTTTCTCGAAGCGGTCCTCCTTAATGGCCGGCAAGACAAAATGTGGAGTTTGAGACTTTTTATGAACATGCTTCTTTGGAGGCAGTGCGAAAGGCATCCCACCTTCCTTAATGTTCCTGATAAAATCATCGGGATCAAGAGGGTCATCCACACTAGCGGACGTGTTAAATCTTCTTTTGTGGACCCTTCTCTTCTTCTGATGAGATTCCACATCTAACCAGTTGGAAGGAAAGTCTGCATTTGATTGCAGACTTGGGGATGAAGTGGATGATTTCTCTGCAGTCTGTAGTCCTTTTTTGAAAGCACTACCTAGAACATCTGTTTCTCTTTTTTCTTTTGTGTCTTTGTCCTTCAGGAACACCTCGTCGAAACCAACAGTGGGTGATTCTTTCTTGGCATTCATCTTTGAAGCCTTTAGTTTCTCATCCACTCCAACAACCTCTTTGATGAGGTTTTTCTGTTCCTGTTTGCCAGCTGCTTTTCCAGCCATGGAAACACTTGATGTTACAGTTAATTCAGCATCTTTAGTTGTTTTCTTCAGATCCTTTGTTGCTACAGCCTTTGATTTCGGTTCTTTGTTAGTACCTGGAGCTGTGTGAGGTTCAGTAATTGTCTCTGGTTTCTTTATTTGCACAACTTTGACAGGTGTGCTCTTCTGGTCCTTTTGACTGCTAATGTCATTGTTAGCCTTTTCATTTTCCAAACTCTCTGCTGATGAGATCTTGGAGTCAGGACTCCCTTTATTTTCCACAGAACCCTGAGTTTTGCTTTCCATGTCATCTGTAGATTCTGTCTTTGCAGTCTCTGGTCCCTGTTGTAGACCAGCTTGTGGACATTTGGATTCTGTTGACTTATTCAGTTCTGGTTTTGTCATGTCTGCATTCTGCTTGTCGC